CATGTTTTCATAAGAGGAAACACTTGGCTTGTTGGAAGAATGGGAAATATGAGCTTAGATATATAAGGAAGGAAAACGCCATATGAGGAAACTTGGATATGGTTAAATGCATGTGGGAGTCAAGTCAGACTTGAATCAGTCTGTATTATAACAATTTGATAATTTTGTTATATATTCATATTCTCAATTCATTTCACCATCAGTTAAATTCTTATTGTGTGATTTGATTACTTCATTGATCTATGAGGAAACAGTGAATTTATTTTTAATTTATTTATTTTTTTAATTTTGTTAACATTGGTTTACAACACTGCATATAATCTGGGGAATAGGTTTGGACTTCCTCAGATGTCTGTTACAACACTACACCCATAGGTAAACCACCCATAGTTCTTTTACTCTGTATCAGCCTACCCCTTTCCCACTTTGTTCCCACCTCCACGCCACCCCTACCTCACTCCCTCCCTACAGAGTCTCTGTAGTCTCTGGAGTCTCTGGAGTCACATGTCTAGGATATGTTCAGAAGGTATGCAGTATCCACAGATAGGGAGGATTTTAACAATTGTTCAGTATTACAGATATTTGTAGCAAAATCAGATGGTGACTTATTTACAGATACTTTTTTGTTTCTGTGAAAGTCATTTACTTAATTCTAGAGGTGTAATGGTACAAGTGTCATGTAATTTTTAGGATAACTTAGTTTTAAATTACTTTTAAAACTGTTCTAGCTATAATGTAATCTTAATATTATCATATTACATAACATGACTTTTCATTACTGTCCACTGTCTTTAGTGGCTTAAGGCTTTGTAAACCCAGCATTCATTCCATTATCTCTATTTTTGATAGTTATCAATTCCAGTCATTACTCAGGCACTCTACATTTTACTTTTAGCCTTCAAAAGTAATTTTCTCAAGAAGTGTCATTGCCCTCTTTTAAAAATGAGGAAACTAAAAGTCAAAGGTAGTTAGCATAGTGGGAGGAGTCTGGTAGGTGGTTAATAATGGCTTACATTTAGGGTAGGGCTACCTATGTTTTTATCTGTGCTCTCCCAGTTAAAGCTCTGTGACCTTGGAAGAGTTTCTTAACCTATCTAAGTGTTAGCTTCCTGGTATATACAAAAGTCAATAATTCCAGTCTCATAGATAATTAGATTAAATAAGATGTAATCATATAGTACATGGGAACTGCTTGGTATATATTGTGTACCCAGTAACTATCACATGTTATTAATAAAGAACTTATTTAGACCACTCAGATGGTAGAAAATAGTGCTGATAACAGTACCTCCTCTGACTTTCTGCTTTGTAATTAAGGTAGGGAATATGAACATGAAAATAAACAATATTAATACAGCATCTAATTTATCTTAAAAAGCAAGAGGTGGTAGGTATGAGGTCAAGTAATAGAAGAAAACAGACAAAAATGCATATAGTGGGGTGAAGACACCATAAAATACGTTTTATGCAAAGCCATATTCATTTTTTTTTTTGAGATAAAGAATTGGGAAAGAAATGAATTCTTTTTGAACTCATCTTTGCACAGTATTAATGTCTTAGCTTAGTGATCTTTACCAACCTTAAACAGGCAAGCAATGGAAGCATTTATTTTTGGCCGAACCTTCTAGTGATCCTTCCCTCAAATTTTTGGGTACTGGTCCTGTTTAAGCAATAATACATATGAAATGCTATCCTTCCAACACAGAGAATTGTAAACACATTAGAAAGAATGTGTTTTTCTTTCAAGTGCCTATGGTTATTTTAATTAAATTCCATTTTTATACTTAATGTGTTTGAAACTCCTTTATGGTTCCTTACTTCCCTATCTTAAAAATCCTACTTAAAGTCAGAGTCTGTCTGATGTCTAATTATACTGACTAATATCCCCACACAAACTGTAATGATTTACACGAACTGTAAATCATTCTGAGATGAATGGTCTTTCAGTTCAGTTCAGCTACTCAATGGTCCAGTGTTTGTGGCTGGAACTGTCATCGATTCATTGATTTAAAAAGCTTCCTAATAATTTAATTCACATTTTAAATTTACACCATTAATAGCTGTGGTTATTTTAGGATTACTTTTCTGCTTTCATAATCTAATGAATTTGATTTTGTTGTTTTTTTTTTTTTTTTCATTGAGAAGTTGTATTGCTATATGGTATGACTCATACTATGCCTCTTACTGAAGTGCAGTTAACCATGACACTAAGGATTCAAGGCATTCAAACAAACTTGGCCATTAGAAAGTAAACAACACACTTACAGAATAAAAAAGGGGAGCCTTTCCTTCACCTTTCACCGAGAAAAGAGTATTTCCTTTTAGCATGATTAACTGTTAGATCAATTAATTTACCTCAAGCAGGTTTTTTTTTGTTTTGTTTTGTTTTGTTTTAAGTTGAGGAAGTCTGTGCTCTGGCCTTTTGAAATTGTTAAATTCAGAGGCCAGACTTTGGGCTTCTTTTTCCAAAGAGGTATATTTCAAGTACTGCACAGAAAAGAACTTAGCATAAGAAGCCATTGTGACACAGGCACGGATGATTTAACAGAAAATATACTTCAAAGGTGAAAAAATCTTTTTTTTTTAATATTTATTTATTTATGCATACAGAACTGGGGTAAAGGCCAGAGGTGGTACAGGAGCGGTGAGTGGATTCACCAGAGACAGAGTGGGGAGCAGAACAGGCCGACTAAGGAAGTACACTGCTGAGGGGGGCAGTGGGTGGGTCAGGAGAGGTCTGCTGCACCATGTGGGTTACCTCTGGGGCAGGGATTGAACTCATGCGGAAGTGGCTTTAGCTTCTTAGTGCTGTGCTTTAACCTGCTGCGCCACCAGGGAGGGCCCAAAAAAATCTGGTTAATAGTAAAGTTCTAGGTTTTTACTGAGCCAGCTTATCTTTTACACATAAAATCTGCATGAAATAAATTTTAAAAGGAATGTCCAAGTCAGTTTTGTTGTAATAAATGCTTTATTTAAGTATTACAGGTTAGATAGAGATAAGAAAAAGGGGAGGATGTCATAATATCTAAAAGGCTCACTTTTTTTTTAAATTTTTTTTAAAGATTTATTTATTTATGCATACAGAACTGGGGTACAGGCCAGAGGCTCAGGGGTGGTGAGAGGCTTCACCAGAGACAGAGTGGGGAGCAGAACAGGCAGATCGACGAAGTACACTGCTGAGGGGAGCAGCGGGCGGGTCAGGAGAGGTCTGCTGCGCCATGTGGTCACCTCCGGGGCAGGCGGGAATTGAACTCATGTGGAAGTGGCTTTAGCTTCTCAGTGCTGTGCTTTAACCCGCTGCGCCACCAGGGAGGGCCAGGCTCACTTTTTATAATAGCAGTTTGACTATGATAATGAAGAAGCCACAGATTGTAATTAGTAAAGAAGTAATGCCTAGGAATATATAAAAGTGTACAAAAAATATTTATACACAGCTTTAAAAGATTATAGTGGAACAACAAAGCAGACTAGCAAAATAGAAGCATGTACTTGTTCTTAGCTATGATTTACCATCAAGATAACCATAAGTTGACTTATACATTACACATTTTACATGAATCTGATGAGAATTTTTTTTCATTCTAAACCAAGAGGATCTAAACTTAATGGAAATATGTTTTGCTTTTATTGTCCAAATTGTTTTTTTTTAAAAGATTTACTTATGGATATAAGAACTGGGGTGTAGGTTAGAGGTACGGGGGGGTGAGAAGCTTAACTAGAGACAGAGTGGGGACTAGAACAAGCAGATGGACGAAGTACACTGCTGAGGGGAGCAGCAGGTGAGACAGGAGAGGTCTGCTATACCATGTGGGTCACCTCCCTGGTGGGGGTTGCGTTCATGCTAGCTAGATAGATTGATAGCACTGAGACTTAAGCCCTGTGCCACCAGGGAAGCCACAAACTGTTTATTGTGGCAACATGTTGTGTGTGTGCTCCTGGGTTTAAAGGTTCAGACCTCTACAAATTTGTCCTTTCGCTCTCTGCCCACCACCAGAGCTCAACAGTCCCCCACAGGCTCCCTTCACTGCCCTACTCTTAATCCACTTGCCCTCCCCTCTAATTGCCTCGGCTGTTTTTTTTTTTTGGTTTGCTTTTGACTTACTTTGTTTTGTTTCTATGCATTACACATTTAATTGGGGTCATCCATTATTTCTCTTCTGACATTTCTTGGTAAGGAATATGTTTGATTCTACTATTAGTTCGCTTATGCCAAAGTATTTTCATATAGATACTAAATATTTTTTACAGTTGATGTTCTTAAAATCTGATTCTAAAAGTAAATAAGAGAAGAATATAACAGTATGATGAAATTCTTTACAAGTCCTCTATTTTATCTTTAAATATGTTTTTATGCTTAAAGAACTAGGGTATAGATCAGAGGTATGAGTAAGAGGATTCACCAGAGACAGTGGGGAGCAGAACAGACAAACTGACAAAGTACACTGCTGAGGGGAGCAGCGAGAGGGTCAGGAGAGGTCTGCCATGGCACGTGGGTCAGCATCCTGGGCGGGGATCGAAGTTGTGCTACACTGGCTTCAGAGAGCTTCATAATGTGGTGCTTTAACCCATTGTGCCACCAGGGAGAGCCCTAGAAAAAACTTTATTATTGAGTTACCATTTGGTTTAGATTACATATTGTATGAGTACAGCTTCACACCTTGATAATAAGTATTTGCCTCACGGTATCAATCATTAAAGCTGTGGCACCATTTCCAACCATTAAATTGACCTCTACTGTTCTTTCCTCTCCTCCTTCCACCCTTACCTTCACTTTAGGTACCAACCATATTTTCCAGAGTCTAAAAATTAGTAAATTTATTAAGAATATTTTAGCAGTCTGTCAGCGTGCACTGAACAATCATAAAGGCACAAGATGACCAGTAGACATCAAAATGTCCAATTGTCCCTGTTCCATGCAAAGGGGTAATCTATGATAGCCTTTCAAAATTGCTGAATTTAAGGACTCCCTGTTATATAATATTTTTCCTTTTTTTCCATAGTTGCATTAAAATCCCCTCCAACTGACAGAAATGGTGTCCAGAATAACTGTCAAACAAAATTGAGGGAGGACCTGACTTTACAAGAAGGAGAATTCTTATTACAGGTAAATTTTAGTAAATATTAATCAGAGAAATTATAAATGAGAATTGCCAGTCAGTCTTTTAATTATTCCTTCTTTATTTAGAACTTACACAGAGTTCCAGGCAACTTTTATGTGAATTTCAGTAGTAATGTAAGGCTAGTATAGTAGTCTCACCTTACTTTGTGGTCAGAGGGCTCAAAAATGAGTGAGATAAAAATGAGTAGATAATTTTTGTACTATATAAATGTAATATTTATAACAATATTTGTAATATAATTGTATTAGTTACTGTCAGTGTCTTACTGTGCTTATTTTTGAACTTAAATTTATAATCAGAGATATGTATGTGTAGGAATAATCATTGCATACCTAGGGTTCAGTGCTTTGTTTTAAGAGTGGGAATTTTGGAACATATCCCCTGTGGGATAAAGGAAGATTAATGTATTTGGAAAAAATGGAACTGTATAAAGATGATTAGTTGGATAACTATTCATCAGTTTCTGTATTTATTTAAATAGGATGAACTAGAATAATTTAAAGGTTTCATTAAAATACCAGGTTTTATATACTTTTAAAAAGAATATAGCTCTTTTATACCTAATTAAATACAATTTAGGAATTCAAAATTTTGAAATTTTATTTTTAAATGTGTTCTTTAAACTATCTTCTTGGCAGCTATGTCTGACTTAACATGCTGTAGATTTTAACAACTTTTAAACCCATTTATGCTTTACAACTTGGAGAGTCTCTAATAGATTTGTCTATACCAGTATTTCAAATGTGTTTTTTCTCTTGAAACTGATACAACATTTGGTTCTCAGATAAAATGCTCAATTATTTTGTCAAAGAAACATAGCATGAAGATGTGCATAACTGGTATGTGGTAATTTTCAAATTCAGTGAGTGAAGAACTTGGTTTGCCATTCAGGCAAAAAGGTGGCCATAAGTTATAGCTACTGTACTTAATTTTGAACTTAAATTTATAATCATAGATATGTATGTATAGGAAAAATCATTGCATGCATATGGTTCAATGCTTAGTTGTAACCCAATGATTTATAATCTTTTTATTATAATTTTGTAATTGTGTTCAAATCCCTGATAATGAAAACTTTTGCTTGCATTATTTTAAATTTAATATATGCAAGCATAGTCTTCCTCTTGTCTGAGGATCTCTACATGTATGCTAACTGAAACAAAATTAGTCCTTATTCAGGCCATAGGAAAACATTCTATTAATTGCTGTTGAAATTGACTATATATAGTCCCAATGGTATGTATAAAGTAATGATGATCTACTTTCAAGGTAAATGAGAAAGATATGCAATGTGAAGTACTTGGGAAACTGGTTTTAACTCCTAAAATATCTGAGCATAGCTTATGTCAAGGACACAAAATAAGAATAATGGTAACACAAACGTAGTGTTTTTATTTAAAATTAGTTTAAAATAGTAAGCATGTAGGTATTTGTAACTAGTGCTTTTATTTGTAGATTAATCACCCAAGGATTGGCTTAGGACCATGCTTTTCTTTTTCTTTCATTATGATGATGGACCAAAACATTATGGACATCTGAAGAGGGCATATTTCATCATATACTTTTGCTATAATACATGTCTGAAGGGAAAATGGTTGATAGAGTATTATTCAATATTCAACATGGTTTAAATTTTTGATGAGACATCTTTTCGTTTGGTTTTGGTAAAAAAAAGGAAGCTGATCAATGTTAAATATTTTATTACAAATTTAGCTTGAATTTTTTGCTACTTTACAAAGAAAAAAATGAAACAGTAAAAATACATAAATAATTAAAAAGCTATCCAGTCCTGTTTATGACCATGCTTAAATCTTCAGCTTCATTTTTCAGTTAGTAGTATTTATAATTTTAACTTCAGTTTATTCAATATGATTTTCAGGCAGGGTAAATCTTTTGAGGCTATTAGAGAACAATGATCTATATAATTACCATGTTAAATATATATAGGCAGACTTTCATGATATCGTATCATATTCATACAATAAAGTGTATTTCCACTGATAACACTAAAGTTTAAAGGGCTTTCTAAATTATCCAAAGCCATATACTAGTAAGAGACAGAAATCCTGTCCAAATAAATTAAGTTAGTTAAGAGCAGTATAATGGTATGAACATTGGGCTGCATAACTACTAAAGAACATAACATGCAAACTAAAATAACTATTGGAGATGCAGCATAATACATATGAAATAAAAATAGCTCATATGACAGCTTTATGACAGCTTTAAACTTAAACATTTTAGTAATTATATTAAGTGGACTGCATTTTACTTATGTGTAATCCATATAGATTTTAAGTGTTTTATAATACTTTGATAGTAACCAAATTTTAAATTACATCATTGCTTGAATTGTCTTTGCATTTTTTTCCTATCAGATGTCTTAAAGTATATTTAACCAACATTTTTATACTGTTTTAAAAATATGAAGTTAATGTTATTAGCTTATGTTTTAAAAAAATGTACTGTGTATTTTTAAAATAGAAGAGCTGGAGTGTGAAACCAATTTGAAAATAACTGGAATTTGCTGTAATAATTTGTTTGGCTAATGGGGGGGAGACTCAGAATTTATATTCCTCTCACTCCAAGCTTGTGTGTACTATGGTTATAGCTATAAGGTGTACTAATTTTACCCATTTCAGAGTATTTTTCAGCAGTAAAAGTAATGGCATCAACTGATAGTAATGTGATGAGATAATATTACTAATCAGCACTAATTTTGTAACATTGATTCCTGGTAGGCTTTGAATGGCTTTGTGTTGGTTGTCACTACAGATGCTTTGGTCTTTTATGCATCTTCTACTATCCAGGATTATCTGGGCTTTCAGCAGGTAAATATAGATTTCTTACTAAATAATTTTGAAAGATTTAACTGTATATAAAATATCAATTAGATGCTCTAGATTAACAAAATACATTTACAGCTAACATACTGTTTATTGTATTAGAATTTACCTTAAACATTTATGTGATTCATGGACATTGTATTTCTTCTTTCACTTATTAAGGAACTAATATGAGGAACTCAGGTAAGGGTTTGAAAGGCAATGGAATAGAGAACAATTACCTTCAAATCGGTTATAGGAATTGGCACCCATAATAACTGTGAAATAAAGTGCTATGTATAGGTGTACAAGCCAAATCACTAATTTAAAAGTTTGCTGAGGGAAATAATTTAACCTCAAGGAAGTATAGGACTCAGATGGATAGACAGTTCTGGAGGGAACATGGAGAATAGCTGATACACTGTAGGCAGGAAGTACCTACAGGAAATAGACATGTCTGCTTTGTTTAACAGTATGGAATGAATGGTGAAAAGGAATTTGGCATATTTGAAAGAAGACTATTTAATAGGATTTCTAAGTAGTTTTCAAGCACATTTGAATGCTAGCTATTATCAGTCATTCTTAAGTTCTTATTGTGCTTAGGAATCAAAGAATTTAGTAAAGTGTATATACATTATTTGGGCTTTAATCCCAGCGATTTTGACTCAGTGGGTCAGAGTGGACTCCATGTAATGCATTTCTAGCTACCTTAGGATGACAGCAAGGCTGCTGGCTTGAAACACTGTTACATATACTATGTTAAAGACACAAAAGAAACTTTATAAAAGTTAAGATTGTTAAAGGGAATGTATATTCTACAATTGCTTTTCAGAAAATGGGTAACTGTATGACTGACTGACACAGGAGATTAAGTTCATAGGCAGGTGTAAGACTAGAGGGCTAAAGTAATGAACTCTGGCTACTGCCACAATGCCCACATTGTGATCTTGAAATATATTAATATCATGGAAAAACCAGTTTGGAATTAATAATGAATTATGTGAAGTACATTGCTCATTATGTGATAATGACTCATAAAAGTTCAAAGATAGTTTTTCCCCAGTCTACCTTTGTTCTCATGTGCATTTTTTCTGAATGTTCTTTAAGGAAGCAGTCATGTCTGACATGAGTGGTAGTTTAAGTACTACTTAAAAGTTGTAAGTTGTAACTTACTAGTAGCTAATGTAGAGTGGGTCATCATAACCAACCTTTTGTTTATAACCTGTTTTTCCATGTGTGATAGATGTCTACTTTTCCATGAGCTGTAGTAAAGAAAGAATGATTTAAGGATTAATGAGTTAGCACTGGCATAAATGCCAGGAGGGAAGAGGGCCTGTAGGTTGACAAAAGCATATTTCTTTACTCTGATGGAAGGAAATTTCACATAAAGGAAACTCAAAGTACAGTAAATACAAAATGAATGTAGGTAAGCCTGGAGAAATCAAAGGTGACTGAACATTTAGTCAACATGTCAGTGAAAGGAGAAATTAAAAGATCAATAATGGATAAAAATAGGCAGAACTTATTGTGTTCAGTTAGAGATGACTTGAGTGAAGAGTGTTCAAAGCTTTGCAGGTATTTGAATTGCATCATCACCCCTAACAAGCACCCACTAACCTTGGTAGGTTTTCCGATGACTTTAGTAATCTTTTTTTTTTTCTTTAGTCTGATGTCATACATCAGAGCGTGTATGAACTTATCCATACTGAAGACCGAGCTGAGTTTCAACGTCAGTTACATTGGGCATTAAACCCCTCACAGGGTACAGACTCTGGACAAAGAATTGATGGTAAGTGTTTTCACCAAAAGATATTGGTGAGTTTCAATACAACTTTGTGAAAGGAGGCAGGAAACTATATGAAAAGCTTAAGCTAGAGCACAAAAAGTATGGTGGTCTAAATAAAAAGACAACCATTACCATACTCAATAATAAATTTTATAAAAATAAATCACACCATTGTGAAGAAAGTAAGTAAATGTACACTGTTGGTAATGGTGTATCAAATTTTCTGTGCTTAAATGGTACCAAACAAAGCAAACTACAAGCATAAAAAACTTCAGAAGTCTGATAGCACAATAGAAATCACAACTTAATAGGTCAAGTGCTCTGTAAAGGTGATATATATTCAATGAGTTTTAGTTTTTCTTTAACTCCCTTTCTGAAATAGTCTGTATTATGAACACAGAAAGCATTTAACACTTTCCATTTCACTGAAATCTGTAAATTTGTATTGCTGTTATTTCTGTAGAAGGTAATGGTCTCCAACAGCCAGCAGTCTACTTTAATCCAGACCAGCTTCCTCCAGAAAACTCATCATTTATGGAAAGGTGCTTCGTATGCCGTCTAAGGTGTCTGCTAGATAATTCATCTGGTTTTCTGGTAAGAGTAAAAAACCTTATAAAACATACTTTCCCTTGATTATATTTGAGCTTTAAAACCTACTTTATCAAATAATTTGATAGTAATATTTAAAAATTAGGAAATTAATTTTTAGAAATCTTCGATATACTAACAAAGATTAAAAAAAAACAGGAAATCTACTTTGCTGGGATTTTAAGAATTCAAAATTGGAGAATTCTAGTAAGCAGGAGGCCTACCTTCTTTGGGTTTAGTGCCTGTTAAAACAGTTATGCATCTGAATTCCAGGGTGGGGTAAGTAGATACCCTAGGTAGAGAAGTCTGCCCTTTCAGTTAACTATTCCCTTTAGAGCACTTATTCCACTAAGCACACAAGAGAGTACGAATCCTGTTCTGTGAAAGTAATTTTGCTGAGAGTAATAATTGCTTTGAGATAGTTTTCTAAGATGGGTTTTCTGTGTGTAATAGACTCTGCTTCCTGTGCTGCTATCCCATTGCTCTCTTGATCCTCCCCTGGCCTGGTTAATATAGTTTTATGCTACTAAATTGGTCATGTTCAACTTATCCTTGTGTCTTGTATAATCTTATAAAAGCTCACCATTTGGGGGCCCTCCCTGGTGGTGCAGCGGGTTAAAGCACAGCACTGAGAATCTAAAGCCGCTTCTGCGTGAGTTTGATTCCCGCCTGCCCGGGAGGTGACCACATGGCGTGGCAGACCTCTCCTGACCGCCCGCTGCTCCCCTCAGCAGTGTACTTCCTCGATCTGCCTGTTCTGTTCCCCTCTGTTTCTGGTGAAGCCTCTCACCGCCCCTGAACCTCTGGCCTGTATCCCAAATAAATAAATAAATCTTTAAAAAAAAAAAAAAAAAGCTCACCAGTTGGGAAATGTGATCCATTTATCTGGTAAGATAATCATGCTACCTTTTGAGATTATTTTTACCATAAGGAAATCCATTAAAAACTAAGTACTAGTTTTCAGCCAAGGTTATTTACCTACAGTGATCACGTTGTTAATTTGTAGTGAACTGTTTTTGATGTTTTAAGGCAATGAACTTCCAGGGGAGGCTAAAATACCTTCATGGACAGAACAAAAAAGGAAAAGATGGATCAGTGCTCCCACCTCAGTTAGCTTTGTTTGCAATAGCTACTCCACTTCAGCCACCATCCATACTGGAAATCCGGACCAAAAACTTCATCTTCAGAACCAAACACAAACTAGACTTTACACCTACTGGTTGTGATGCCAAGTAAGTGAAACTAACAATGTATTTTATTTCTATAACATAATTATTTACACTCATGCAGTATATCCTTTTGAAGTGATTTCATCAGATTCACAAAATCATAGTTTACAATACTTGCCATAACTTGTGTCATAGATACAATGTACTGTATTACTAATAAATGTTCGGTATTCTGATAATTATAATTGATTAAAAATATAGCAACTATTATTTCAAAACAGTCTGCCTGAAAAACTCTGTTCTTCAAAAATGTAGTGATAAGTTTTTTTATTAACATTTTTGTTTTACCTGCACAATCAGATTGCTCTTTAGCCATATCAATTTTCATGGTCTTTATTTAGGAGCAGAAGATAGTCTGAAACTAAAATTTGCAGTCATAACTTAACCGATTAATTTGTTGATTATTTTACCTCTCTTTTAAATAGAGGAACAATTGTCTTGGGTTATACTGAAACTGAGCTTTGCATGAGAGGATCAGGATACCAATTTATTCATGCTGCTGATATGCTTTATTGTGCTGATTGTCACATCCGGAGTAAGTAACAGTCCCTTATGAATGTTTCTGAAAATATTATAGTGTAATGTAATATGTTGAAGGCAACTTAACTACATGTCTAAAAATTACTCTAAATGGCATGCCATTATGATTAACCTGAGCTGTACTATATGAATTGTGCTACAGTTGTCAGGAATACCGTAGATAAAGGAACACAAAAGTGAGTTTCTTGTTTTGCTCAGTAGTCTTTCATAACTTAAATAACTTTAGTATCATTTTAAAGCATAAATCTGTTAAGCTATAGGAAATGTGTTCTTTTAAATTAAAAAAAAAAATTCCCTTATAGTCTCTTGCTAGTTTCATACATGACAAGAATCAATCTTCCTGTTAACCTTTAAGTAAGTTTACTCTGAAGAGCTGTTTTCATGCATTGTAATATTTAAAAGTTATCAAGATATTTACCATCTTTGGTAATAAGTCCAGAAATCTGTCATGGACTTAGTTTCAGAAATTTTCAATGTGATTTTTTGTTTTGTTCCAGTGATTAAAACTGGAGAAAGCGGTATGACAGTTTTCAGGCTTCTCACCAAGGACAACCGATGGACATGGGTGCAATCTAATGCTCGCTTAGTTTACAAAAACGGGCGCCCTGACTATATCATTGCAACGCAGAGACCTCTGACGTAAGTACACAGACTTACAGGGCTTTTAGTCCTTCAAGATAAATTCTAAAAATTTACTCTGAAAACAAATATAGAGCTCTTTGTAAAGAGAATAAGTAGAGGAAATTTTTTGTTATATGTTTACAGAGGATAGATTAAAAGCTACAGCCTCTATAAAGTACCAATGCCTTGTTTAACACCTTTTCTAAGCAAGTATTGGTTTTTAAATTAATTTTATTCCTAAATATTTGATGTTTTGTAATACTAAAGTATATATAATGTTCTAATTATTTAATATTACATAGAAATAGTTCACTTTGTTAACAGCAGTTCTAAGGTTTCTTTAATATAATGAGTTTGCAAATACTTTTTTTCTTTACCTTATGAATATTTAAACATTTTATTTTCTGTCTGCCCCTGGCTAAGGCCTCAGTACCAAGTATAATAGAAATAAATACCCGGTTTCATTTACATTAAATATGTGTACTCTTTGTTTTTGTAAATACTAGGGTTTTTTTAAATTTCAGATTCCCTTCTTTCTAGTGCACTAAAAGTAAATTATGTGGGAGTGTTAAAATTTGTCAAATACTTTATGCCTTCATTGACCTGATAATCTAAATTTTCATTATAAAGAGTTCAATTTTGGTTTTATTTTTCGTATTTGTTTTGGCCTCCCTTTATTTAAACTTGTAGATTATAGACCCTGATGTTTAATATTTTCAGTTGAATGATAACTGCTTACATTGATTTCCTTTTTAATTCTTAGATTTTAAAACATATGGCTATTGTGCTTTTTGGTATTAGGGTTTCTGTATTTCAATGAATATTAAGTTCTTTAAAATTAGTGACATATGATTTAATATATGTTTAATTTTAGGCTCTTGTCAAAAGTATATACTTTTTCTACATTGTTTACTAAGATGTACTGTTTCTTTCAATCTCTTACAAATACAATGAGCAGCTATCCATTAAATGTATTTATATACGTCTGTCTACAGAAATTAACATTTTCTCTTTTTTTTTTAACATTCTTATGCCCGGCTTTACCTTTATAGCTTACATCTTTTGTATCACCCAGAATTTACATTTTATGCTTGATGTCAGGGAAATGAGACTAGAATAACTTAATCTATAAGGTTTATAGCATCACTCAGCAGACAATTTAGTCTGTTTCCTCTGCCAAACTCAATTGCTGTATATTTTGTTTGCTACAACTTCCTGATGTATGCACACTTTCTTGTACACAATTTTAGAGATGAAGAAGGCACAGAACATTTACGAAAACGGAATCTAAAGCTGCCTTTTATGTTCGCCACTGGAGAAGCTGTGCTGTATGAGTTAACAAGCCCTTTTCATGCCATGCTGGAGCCTGTAAGGGGAAAAAATGGTGCTAGAAGAGATTCTGCAACCAAATCAACTCTAAATAAAGATTCTCTAAATCCCAGTTCAATCTTTGCTGCCATGATGCAACAGGATGAATCTATTTATCTCTACCGTACTTCAAATAATGCACCTTTTGAAAGAAATTTATTTACTGAATCTCTGAATGAACACAGTAATTGGCAAGCAAGTATTGAACCAAAAGGAAATGGTAATATCCTGAAACATGAGCAAATCGGTCAGTCTCAGGAAATGAACCCAACACTCTCTGGAGGTCATGCTGGGCTTTGTCCAGATAATAAAAATGGTGACTTGTATAACATTATGAAACACCTAGGCATTGATTTTGAAGATATCAAGCACATGCAAGAGGATGAAGAATTTTTCAGACCTGACTTTTCTAGTGAGGAAGATTTCAGAAATATTGATGTAGATGAAATCCTGACCTATGTCCAGGATTCCTTAAATAAGTCTCCTACCTTCATGTGTCCGGGTTACCAACAGCAACAGTCCATGGTTCTGAACTCAAGTTGTATGGTGCAGGAGCACTTACAGGCGGAGCAGCAGCATCAAAAGCAGGTAGCGGTGGAGCAACAGCAACTGTGTCAGAAAATGAAGCATATGCAAGTTAATGGCATGTTTGCAAATTGGAACTCAAACCAGTCTGTGCCTTTTGGTTGTTCTCAGCAAGACTTACCACAGTGTGATGTCTTTGCAGATTTATCTGGGGCCAATCAAGAGTTTCCATACAAATCTGAGATGGATAGTATGCCTTATACCCAGAACTTTATTCCCTACAATCAGCCTGTGTTATCTCAGCATTCCAAGGGTACACAGTTAGATTTTCCTGTAGGGAATTTTGAAACATCTTCATATCCCACTACAAATTTAGAAGATTTTGTCACATGTTTACAAGTTCCTGAAAACCAAAAACATGAACTAAATCCACAGGCGACCATGGTAACTCCTCAGACATGTTATGCTGGAGCTGTGTCAATGTATCAGTGCCAGTCAGAACCTCAGCACAGCCGTGTGCCTCAGATACAGTACAGCCCAGCCCTGCCCGGTCCACAGGCATTTTTAGACAAGGTAAGATTTTACCAGGCTCAATAAACCCATTCAGAGATTCTTCCTACATTGCAGACATGAGTCATAATCTTACCTATATGGTCAGGTGCACATCCATTGTTTCTTTATGCTTGAAAGCTTATACTATTTTTAGTAAGATAGTGTTTCAACGTAAGATTATAGGACAGTAATTTTAGTGGTACTCAATTAGAAACATGTTAGAATTGATTCAGAAAATTATACTTCTTATATATCATCTGCAGTCCAGTGTAATAGCCTTGTATATAATTCATTCATTGGTATTTAGCAAATGGTAAAACAAAGCAAGCATACATCTAATTTTGGTATGACTTAGCACACTGACCTATGGATCCTTAATCTGCCCAAACCAAAAGCAACTCAGTCATCTGTTAGCAGGATATGAATATATAATGTATGTACATTATCTTTGCTGAATGATTTGGAAATTAGCAGAAGCAAAGGAATTTGAAAAATATATTTCATTATTTATGGTTCACGATATCTGAAAGATGTAACAAGTTACACTGTTTTCAGTTTCAGAATGGAAGCATTTTAAACGAAACCTACCCAGCTGAATTAAATAACCCTCAGGCTACACCACATCTTCAACCCCTTCATCCTTCAGAAGCCAGACCTTTTCCTGATTTGACATCGGGTGGATTCCTGTAATACTTGGAGCCCTGATTTTCAGTAAGTTAGTTTGCTGAAGAATAAGTAAACTGTCCATGTTGGGCATCGGCCAGTTCATGTGATGGCAAGGACATTCTTGATGTTAACCCAAATGATATTTTCATGGTTTTTTAAAAGAGGACTTTAAAATTCCCATTTACTATTGTCATCCAATTAACAAGTCTACTGCCACAGAGGAGAGACAGTCTACATTTCACATCATGCTAATAAACACCACAAAGCAGACTCAGTTTATTCCCAGTAATTTAGGGAATTTCTCTATGTTGGGATTACTTATCAGAGTAAAACTTTGCATTTATAACTTCTATCTCAGATTAAGTGATTTGGTGCTTCTGTAATAAATATCCTTGCTTTCTTCCATTGTAAATGCCTGCTTCACAATTTCTATGTATTACATACACTGCAAGATGTATATTTTACCCAAGATATATTCCTTCTTAAATCAATAACATACTATGCACAGGTTATTTTTTTCTTAAATTCATTTTTATTAACCCAGGCATGTTTTAACTGCACTACTTGGCCACTTTCTTCAGGTAAAGGACAAGTAATAATTGAAAGGTAATTATTTATTTCATAATCTAGTTGTTAGAATTTCAATGTTGCTATGTGCCTTATGTTGAAAAAAAAAAGTCTTTCCAAATTATTTCTCAAGACAGCAGCATTAAAGTTACTTTTTTTTCAAGCAAGGAACATACCATGTATTTTTAGTAACAACTCCAGCCATGATAGTTCAATCTGGTACCAAAAAAAACCCAAAACTGCTGTTAAATGCAAGCATGTATATCAGTTTGCACTGAATAGATTCAGTTCTAGCAAAATAACCATTTCATTGTGTAGAAATTCTTTAAAATCTGTTTTAGATCTATAGTGACTTAAGATATACTATGTTAACTGTAAATTTCACTTATTACAGTGAAAGCTATTTGTTTTTCTCATATTTGAGGAGTTTTAAGGTTGAAATGGTGCACTGTATAGTTTATAATGAACAAATTATTTGTAAAATATTTTCAGTCTTTCTTTTAAAATATTTGCACATAATTTGAGTTTTACACATACTATTACTGTTTTAAAAATGATTTCAGCTGCTTCTAAGCTGGTATGAGAAGACTTAGCTTATTTTCGAACATTAGGCTGTTTCTATGATATAATGACCTTTACTATTAGTAAGGCAAATAATCACCATACTAACTTTACTGTCCTCTGGTGATTTACAAACACCATCATTAAATTGTTTCTCCATATTTCCAATAAATATTGTATATAAAAATGGTTTTGACAAAATTTGTCATTTCTTTATATTTCCAGTCAAAATTTTGAATCTGTACAGTACAATCAAGTGTTGAAATAAATTTGTCTAATACATTTCATAATGTCTTTCCATCATGACATAGTCTGAAAGATTTAGACCAGTGGTCTAGTTAATGATCCATTTAAACCCATTTTTTTTTTAAATAAGTGTTCATATAAACCATTCCTATTAGCTTGTCTCACATAGCTTCACTTGTATAAATTGTAGGTTTTAAGTTGTGAAGATAATGACAATTATATACAAAGTAAAAAAAAAAATTAAAGCAATATTGTATAGTTTTATCTATATAACTAAAATTGACATAAATAATAAAATCACAATTAACCAAATATACCTTTGTCTGTATGCTAAGTGCCAAATAGTGAATGCCTAGTATACTGCAGGGTTTATTTTGACATGGTGTACACTTCTAAGGAGGTGGATGTGTCTTATTGGAATCCTTCCTATATACCAGGTTGTTCTGTAACTGCAGATTTACCAGTGTCCTAATGTGCCTGAAACAAAGGATCATTACTATGCACAACTAGTGTTTTCAGTGTTACTAAACTTTAGGTAAATGTTTTCATGCCTTTTCTCTTTCTGCAAAATGTTACTGCTTACATATACCATGCATACATTTGGTTTGATGTAGTTTATAATACCCCTATAAAATCCAGTTGTATACAATAATACCATGTATGGTAATAAAATTATCATAAGTAATGTGTTTTAATGTAAATTCTTTTGATTCACAAAGGAAATAAGTTTTACTGTAAGTATTATGACTTTAGATGAAGTCAACCTGTACATCCAAGGGTACATTAAGTCAGCAATTCGTAAAATTCTCTCCCTGGAAATTTTATCCTTTGCCTAAATGCAAGACACACATTCCAAGTTATTTCATAGATTATCATGATTCTGAAATTGTACGTTCTTTAAACCTTGTATTATCTGTATTCTAGATGTAGTGGCATTTCGTACCTCAGAAATCCAAATTACAATTAACAGGTAATATTCTGATATTAAGAATATTTAAGAGGAATTGTGAAAGAACCCATCTTACTTAGATTGGAAGCATTACTGCCCACACCTATATTCTTTCAAAATTATTACATGTTTGTAATTGTTGAAACACTCCACAAATTTGGTAGCTAAGCCTTGGTTGGAAAAAGTTCTCAGGTAAAAAAAGCTAAGCCTTGGTTGGAAAAAGTTCTCAGGTAAAAAAAAGTTATGCTAGTAACATTATATACACCTGTTTCATGTTTATTGTTTTCAATCATTAGGTTATTTTTTACTCAAACCAGTGTAAACATGCCATTTTATAAAGACAAATAGTTTATCTTTTATGTGAGATAAAAAAAACTCAATTTTAATCATTTGACTTGCATCAAGTAAAATTGCAGGTAATTGTATTTTTGATCTCTACTTTCACTCAGTGCCCTCTATCAACAGTGACCTGTCCTCTTTTTACCAAGTTTGCCAAACACTGATGTAAAGATGTTAGGTAATACTTCTAATTTTTCTCCAAATGTCTGTAGATAAACATTTTTCCAGTTATACTAGAGCCCATTAAAAGCCCGTAACACATCTTAAATGTGTCCTCACCTCAGAAACGCCACCAGTCTTGATCGCAGACTCACCTACAGCATGTGAGCACAGGCTTCCTGAATGCCATGACAAACACCCTTCCTTGACACTTGCCCTCCATGTTGCCCTTCTCTCGAGTCTTTTCCCTGTGAGAAAAATTACTTGATCTTTTTTTTTCCTTTATTATGTTTGAAACCTCTCTCTAATTCAGTTTTTCATCTTCTGAAATCTGATATTCCACTCCCTTTTATACTGTTTTGAAGTTCACTTAACTCTTTTCTTACCACCATGGGCAGATGCTCTTTGAGCCACTGACTACACACTCAATGGCTTTCTGTCCCTTCACTTTCATGATCCACATTTATTACCCCTTCTCTTTCCTTTGTTCACTAGTTTTTCCTCCCATCTTGCAGTAGGTGTGGTTGTTTTTATACTGTTCCTTATGGAGCCCAACCGTTCTACAAGTAACTTTATGATGAATCCCCTCAGTCTTCTCTCTCCTCTAAAAGTGAGATGTGCAGTATAAGGAGACCTATTCTGACATTTGTGGAGCCTCCTTTCCCTTTGAGAGCAGTGTAGCAATGAGAATACACACTATGGACTCACAGTCCTGGTTTCAATGCATGAAATGGATGCAGTGGGAAGATTTCTTTGAGCCTGAGTTTCCTTTTCCAGAAACTAAGAATAGCAGCAACACCTGCCTCACTGGATTTTAGGAGATTCGATAAACTATTTATGTAACTAATGTTCAGTATGGAAAAATAATTCACAAAGGCCAAAACTGGAACAATCTGAACAACACAACAAACAGTGACAGCATTAGATTATAACCCAATAGGAAAATTTGCATCCTTATACAAATAAGTGAATAAATGAGAACAGAGGCTAAGTTCCCTGATGTAGGAATTTATTAAGTATTTATAGATACTATACCTTCCAACAAAAGATGAAGCTTAGTGCCTTTCCCCTAGATTGTAAGCTGCATCAACAGATTGCTTTCCAAGAATAAATTGTACAAAGGAAAAAGCACTAAGTTTATATTGTAGAACTCAAGAAAGCACTCCCCTCATCAAGTGATTGAAGCTAATGTAAACCACATGGTTAAGCTATGATTGAACAACAACCATACTAGTGTGTTCTCTCTGATATGATGCTGACACTAGAACACTTCAGGTCTGGATTTCTCAATACATAAGCTCAATGTAATCGTGAGAAAATGAAGACATAGCCTACAAATTTCCTCAAACTATTTTCCACAATGTTAAGGTCATGAAGAAAACAGAATGAGCCATATAGATCAGGAACACACAGATCAAAGGAGGTGTGACTACTTAGTATGATGTGCTGGCTTGCATTAAGTCCTTCAAGGACCTCATTGAAAAACTGAAAACTCATTAGGGTTTACTTTAGTTAAGAATATTGTGCCTATGGTTCATTTCCTAGTTTTGACCATTGCCAAAGTTGCTGACATGTAAGCTATCATGTTAGAGGAACCTGGATGAAAGGGGAACCAAGGAAGTAGTTGCCACCACTTCCCCGGGATACCCAAACCTTTTTAACTGGGGCTTAGTCCATTCAGTGATACCAGCCTGTCTAATTCAGTTCACTGCTGGATTTCATGGGTATCTTGGTTTTCAGTCTCCAGGTCAATGTTTCTTTCCACTTGGATCTGACATCCCTTTTGAAGGATGCCCATAGCACTGTTTCCTTAGCTCCAGCATATCAATATAATAACCTAATTTTCCATCCCAGCTAAATGCAACCACACCCCAAACTCTGAGCATTTATAATTGCCTTACTTCCGTACATTTGAAATTTCCTCTCCTAATCAAAGCCTCTTTCCATTTTTCCAGTCCTTTCTTCTTTGTTCAACTTGCTCTTTCACCCTCATTGAACTCTTCAGGCCCTTGAGGGCAAGTTGTTCTTTTTCATTCCATCTGCTTGGACCTCAATATCAGGATTTTAAGCAGTATTTCTGCTTGTATCCTCACTTTCTTATTGATTGATGACATTAAGCCACAACTCTGGTTAAATCATGTTACTTTCCTGTTATGCAGAGTTGCTAAAAAGTGGCAAACATTACTTTCCTCATCACAAGTGTTTCCTACACTCGTATCATTTTCCCTTATTTTTTTAGTAAAAACACTGATTTTTCTCAGGTCACCCTGACGATAAAGTGAACATATTCCAGTCTTTCCTATGGCTCTGTGTACTAATGTATGTTCCAACCAGATTTGTGTACGGGAAATACAGTGATACTTCTAGCAAGACTTCCTAGCGAATTCAGTGCATCTGAAAGGAGCCTTTGTTTTGCCTGCCTTTCCTGTGTTTGTGGAAGTGATGGCTACAGATCCAGCAGCTATCTTGAGCCAGAGACAGGAGCCATAAACTAGGATGATGAAGGAAAAAAAGGATGACTCAAGGTCCCTCATGATTTGGAAACACCAAACGAGCCCTTATCTGCCTACCTCTGGACTTCTACCTTACCCCCAAAACCCACTTAGTATCCGCTTACTCTCCAGAGAAATTATTTCTATGATCCTGCAACCAAAAACCCAATCTTCAGTTTTCTATTATTTTTTATTTCTCTCAGCTATCCTCTCAGGTTTCCCTTACCTCCGTCTTTTTCTTGCATCATTAGCTACATGAGTGCATTTATTTCTTCAGCCTACAAGCATAATAAGAATTATTTTCTAAAGAAAATAAAATTATACTTCATTATTTAGTTGTCCGTCATCTGAATAGAACAGCTACCTAACACTTGCATGCTTATTATTTATCTTCACAATCTGAATTAACAATCTGATGTGTATAAATCCTTCCTGTTTTCTGACTTTAGGAAAGAATGAGCCAATCTCCTATTTCCTCATTTATGATTTGCCTCTCTGCCCCTAGCTATAACTTTAGAACTATTATAAAGTTATGCAAATATATATATATATTTGCTTCTCCATCTCTTTGTAATGTTACCTCACTAGGGCTTTCCCTGATGGCACAATTGGTTAAAGTGCAGCACTCTGAAACTATCTGCAGCCACTGAAGCAGAGTTTGAGTCCTGGCCAAGGAGCTGACCCGCCCACTGCTCCCTTCACCAGGGTATTTCAGTAAATCTGCCTATTCTTGCCACTCTGTCTCTGGTAAATCCTTTCACCATGACCCTGTACCTCTGGCCTATACCCCAGTTCTTGTATGCATAAATAAATAAATCTTTAAAAAATAGATTAACTCAGTATGTAGGCTAGACCTCTCTTCTGAGGCCCAGGGGCACATTTCCAAGGATCTATTTTGTACAATACATACATAGTAAATTTTTGAACTATCCTACCAGCACTTCTACTGTCCTTGAGCAAAACTAAATCATTTTCCATATATGGCTAGCAATTCTCCTATTGCTTATGTTAACATCTCAACTCCGATGCTTCTAGTTCAAACCCCAATCCTTACATCTGTCCACTATTACCACAGTAGTTAGTTCTCCTGCACAATGGAATCATTTGCTTCTGTACTTATTATCTGAGAAACTTTCAAATGAAGTTATAGTTAGGAACTCAGCTATAACCACCTGCCAGCTCAAAGCAAGGAGAGATAAGAGTAGAAAGAAAAAAGCTTACTTTAGATGGGGGGAGCTTACACAGATTGATGTTTAGAATGAAAACCGATATCTATGTTTTAGAAGTAGGTTAATACAAGTTCTGAGTATTTCCATGCGGTTAATTGCCATCTTTGAAAACACACTTAATTCCTCATTAAATTGGCACATATGTAGAAAATCCACTGTATCTTTGAGAATTGAATGAGACCTAGTGCTTAAAAAGTTTGCCTTCTTGCCAAGAACTGTGAAAGTGTTAGCCAGCCAGTTTCCGGATGCTGGTAGGAAGACACACAATTCCCAGGTCACAGGCAAAGGAGACACATTATTATGACATAACACCCAAAGTATAAGCCTTTGCACTCGCTGATCACAAGGCATGACAGTATCATCAGCCTGTTGTTGCAGGAAAGGGGTGCTGAACTTCCAGAACCAGAACTTTTTTGTGGGCACTGTGCTTGTCTTACCATGTGCTCGGAAAGGAGACATCATTTGTATCCTCTAGC